TTTATACGAACAAAATACAAACACCGAGAATATAAACTCCTTAAAGAAAAATACCAGAGGTTTATCTTGTTTAAATACAATACGGCTCCATCAATGCACTGGCCACCCCAACTGATGGTAAACATGTCTTTCCATGATAAAGGTTGGATAACTGACACTAACAAAAACCTTTCTCTCTACATGCTTAAGTGCTTGATATCAAGGCAGTTAAGTGTCTGTTTATCCTCTAAACCAGTACTGGGTAATACGCGCCAAACACACACTACGGTTACACACTTCTTCTGAAGAGAATATTACCAAGTCCACTACAGAGCTGCTCAACTGAGATTCAAAAAAGACACAAAAACTTTTCTAGGACAACCCAGCGAGAAGATAATAGAGATGAGGTTTTTTAAATCTGCCCGATTTTCAGTCTTTACCAATTGCATCACACTGCTTCCTAATTAGAAATTTAGAGACAAGTTAGTAAAAGGATCATTTTTGTTACATGACATACAATACAAAGATAATCTGTATTTTTGTTTGCCAAAACCCAAGGGAAAAGCTCATTTATTTCATTTTGATGTCTTGCAGTAGGGGATAGTAAAACCTTTCCACATCACTTCTCAATATGATTGTATTCCACCTTCTAAGAAGGGGGTGTTACTAGAAAACCATCTATTATAATCACAAACTCTTGAATCCAATATCAGAACAATTTGAAAATCGCTGATTGAAAAGGGATCAATCAATTCATTTTTTAAAAAAATTAGAAATACACAGCAGTACCTCAGTGGAATGGAGAGTTGCTTCTGCATGGGGCATGCCGAATCTTTTCGGTTATAATTCAAAGACAAATACATCATATCAACTCTTGCCCTGGGACATTTACATCACACACTACTCCCTTCCCCCTTACAACCCAAAATAAAACAACATCTCAAAATAAAGAAAATCTCCCTAAGTAAAATAAACATAAACATATAAGCAGCACACATGCAATAAACATTAATATAATAAGTAATTTCATTAATATAATAACTTTTTAAAAGAGCTCTCCCTTCCACTCCCTGATCCCTATTGTCTGTCTCTTTTTTTAAGGTTTGACAGGGTTAGGTCCTAAACGAAATCCGCAATTTCCCCAGCAAATCCCAATGAGATCTCTTGTTTAGAGGAAATTACCTCCAGAGCCTTGTGAAAGAAATAATTCTGTATCTGGCAAAAGGTTCCTTGGAATTATTTTCTTCTAAGAGCTAAAAAGCATTTTTTTTCTATAAAAGGTTACCAGCTCTAAAAACCTTTCAAGTTTCCAGAAAGCCAGTTTCAACTCTTAATGCTACTATGTGCTTTTGGCTTAAAGCAAAAAGTGAGAGAGAGAAAACTATAGCCAAAATCAAGTTTACGGGGCTGGGGATTTAGCTCAGCGGCAAAGCGCCTTCCTGGCAAGTGCAAAGTCGTGAGTTCGGTTCCCGGTACCAGAGAAAAACCAAAAATAAATAAATAAATAAACAAAATCAAGTTTACTCTACTCATGTCTCCAGATACACAGCATGACTACACCCAGGTACATACGAGGAAGGGTTCCATTTCTCTTTTTTCCTCCTTTTAAAGGTAGAACAGATATATCTAATGCTGCACATGTAATATTTAGGTATAATGAACATAAAACCCCTCGAAAAGTAAAAGTATATCTGAAGAGACACAGTCCTTGTCATGGTTTGGGTTTTTTTTGCAAGGACACATATTCTATAAGATTAGTTATAACAGTTACCCAAATAATCATATACAAGAGAGTGCAGGAAATCTGTCCACATACTAAGGACCAAGGAATGTAGCTGAGGGTCTGGATCACACAGAAATGTCCTGCATGAGTCCAGCTGAAGACCTAGAGCTCATAACAATATCTCATGCAGGCCTGTTTCACAGATCTGCGCTGCAAAGGCCCAAAGGTCAGTGGTGGAATCTAGTAAGTCTGTGCCAGCGGGATGAAAGATCTGTGCTAGCAGGCTGAGGGATCTGCACTGGAGCTAAGAAGCAATGTGCAAAGTAAGAACCAGAGCTCCCCTGAAAAGTTCCACAGCCATCCTCAGCAGCAGTGAGGTACCAAGCTCCTCCAGTGGTGAAGACAGCCGAGTTCCCATCAGGAAAGCAAATGCAGCAAGCTTCTCCAGGGGACTAGCAATGCACCTTCTTCCCCTCCAGAGGCAGGAGGCGATGCGCAAAGTGAGGACCACAGCTCCCCAAAGTGAACCAAAGCTACTCTCAACAAGGTCCAGAGCTCCTCAGAGCATGAAAACAGCCAAGTTCATCAGGAAAGCCAGCATGCCAAGCTCCTCCAACAGAACCAACAGCTCCTACAGCTCCCAACAGCCTCCTTTCTTCCTGTCGAGTTCCGCCTCTTATGCTGCTGGCAACAGTCCTCAGGTGGCCTCCCACACCCAGCACCACGCTTCCTCAGTTCAGCTGGGGGTTGTCAGTCCACCACAGTTATGAACAGATTTCTGGCAAAATCAAAATGGCTCAAAAGTTAGTAACACTAAGATACGCCATATTAAAACCAAGACAGTGGTAATAACCCAAATATCTAGGTAAGCCAAAAAATGTTTACCAGTCTATTCATTGTTTACATATTTAGAGAAGGTAACTGTCATGGTTACTTTTCTCTCCTTGCTGAGACAAAATACCCAATGCCCAAAATGAAGGAAGGAAAGCTTTATTTAGTTTACAGTTTGTGGAGGTTTCAGTCCATACTTGGTTGGGTCTGAGGCAGAAGATAGCAAAGCAACAAGAGCAAAGCGGGGCATGGCAGTGCGTGCAGGCCTCTTTCCCTCCCTCATGTTGTAGAAGGCTACCCCACTCAGGGGGCGGCACTCACACAGTTAACCTTGTAAACTTCTCACATTGACGAAACGAACAACACCCTACAGCAGGAAGGGCACGTCCTTTGCACCCCAGGATGTAGAACTTCTGAGCCACTTAGCCAAGCCTCTAGACTCCCCAAGTGGACACAATGCATCAACCATAACAGTAACTTTAATCTTCCCATATGAGACAGATACAATGTATGGTATTACTGTGATTACAAATAAATTTTTAAATTTTTATTTTACTGCAAAATTCACTAGAATCAGTTTCTTGTAGAACTTAAATACAACAAATAACGTTCACTTGGAAAATTTCACACTTCAACTTAAAGTTGCCAAAACACAATCAACATGTAACAAGAAAATATCTGTGCTTCAAACAGCACTGCAAAAAAACAAAACAAAACAAAACAACACTAGAAAGAAAAGTTAGAAGTGAAGGAGGATCACTCTGAGATAAAAGCAACCTTGTTTTGGCTCACAGCAACCTTTGGGCACTCTGCGGATAAGGAGGTTGTATTAAAAAGTTCTTATGCCGGGGCTGGGGATTTAGCTCAGCGGCAAAAGCGCCTGCCTGGCAAGTGCAAGGTCGTGAGTTCGGTTCCCGGTACCGGAGAAAAACCAAAAAAAAAAAAAAAAGTTCTTATGCCATACTTACTTTCCCTACAACCTTTAACGGAGTTTGATATGCTCAAGTCCCATAATTTATACAGTCCAATTACCTACCCAACATTATACCATAGAGGCATAATCAGAAATGTAAACTGTCACCCTCATAAAAAGAAAATAATGAAGGTGATTAGGACTTAAAATGGACCAGGAGATTGTTCCAGGTACGGCCATAGCTAAATGGCATCAACACTGGGGTCTTGATAACTATTAAAGGAACAAAGTAGGGTTCTTTCTAAAACACATTATTAATAAATACATGTTGTTAATCTTAAAATAAGTGTTTTAATTTAGAGCCTTATAAAAGCCCATTTCTTCATGATGATGCACGTCCTCATTACTCTGAGTGGTGGTTCATTTCCAAAGCTGACCCACCAATATTTATTTAACCAGCAATCTACTAGCATATGGCACAATGAGAAATGAAACAGGTCAAGAAATTGCAAAGCTTCAAATCCACATGAGCAGCTCAACTGAAAGGACTAGAGCCTGGCAAAACAGGATTTTAAAACTGGAGCTCATATAATCCAAATGTTCACACAATTATATACTCCCATGACAAGGTCCAAAGCTTTCCTTCAGAGCCTCAAAGTGCTTCACTCCATAAAGGGAAAAGCTTCTACGCCACATGAAACCCAAGTTTTTTCTATAAACAACAGTTTATCAGTGAAGTGAAGCATCTCTAACAGCTACAGTCCATGCATGCTTACAGAAAATAGTAATTTCATGATAAAAAACTGTACAAAACCTTCCAGTAAAAAAAAAACTAAGAGAAGAGGATCCTAGAATAAATAACATATTTCAAAATGCTAAAGGAAGTTCATCTAAAGTAGGGGTTGAAGGCCCCAGATACACCCATTTTAAAGTAGCTCTTGACCAGTGAATAGTGTGTGTAGAGTTGATTCAGCTACAAGAAAACATTCCAAATGTTTATGTTTGAAAGAAACTCCCAACCTTGCCAAATCACAAGGCAATAATTTAGCACGCCTTTGTCACTGAAATTTATTATTAGTTTTTATTATTATCTTAAAAGAGAAATCTAAATTGTACCTATGTACAATTCAAACAAAAATGTTTATTTAAAGACTCAAATGTTTAATGACTGAATATGCCTTTTCTATTAATTATGACTAAAAATTTTGGCAATAACTCCTTTTTAATATTTTTAACATAACTTTTGACTTTTCCCAAAAGCTTCTATAAACTAATATAACAAAGGTAAGACATTGTTCTTTTCTTAACTGAGGATGGTTTATTGCTTGTTTTGGGATTTTGTCAAAATAAATGAACTACATAGATCTTAGGGATGTTCTACCCTACGATATAATTTAAGACAAATTTCTATTCCTGTTTTCCTACCTGTTCTCTTCAAATCATGAGTCTAAAGCTAAACCACTGAGGTGCTTCATCTCTTTTCTCTCTCCCAAAATGTTATTACACTTTCGTTTGCCTTTTTAATAGAAAAGCTTTTTATGAGATGCCACTTACCCCTCCTGCCTTCAGCAACTTTCTTCTAAAGTCCTCTGTGGGGTTATTGAACGTTAGCTTCTCACAGCGGAGATGATTCACTGGTGGATGGCCTTCAAGATGCAGGAATAAATCATAATCAAAGCGGACTTTCTTAGGTTCTTCCTGGAGGTTAAAACAAAAGTTTAAACAAGCAAAGTTTAGGTGAAAGAGAAAATTTTAGAACAAAGCGTAACTCTTATAAGGACCATAAAAGATCTAGACACCGCTATAGTGTCAAAGCAGCACAGGCCTCGCTCTTCCCAGCCTGCCCTCTACTCTCAGCATGAAAGCGTGCCATTCTCTCTCCTCTTGCTTGCATAAGCCCTGTAGCTATTGCCTTGCTCCTACTCACTGCCCAAACTACTATAAGCTGCCTCCTTGACTAGGTCTTCCTACTTCAGGACACGTCCTCAATTCCTCCACCATTCAGGTTTCAAAATTATCTGTATCTACCCATTTCTACTCCCTGGTTAAAAATTCTATGGCTTCCAATGGCCATTAGGATAAAAATTTAGTGTCACCTGACTGACATGTAAAGTGTTTCTTAATCTGGCTTTTGGCTTCTAATCTCACCAGACCTCAACACCCTGCTGCCCATCTGATGGCCCAACAGTACACTACCACCGACTGCTTCAGTATCTACCTACAGCTCACTACGTTTCACTCTTGCTTTGCACTGTGACCTTCATTGCCTACCTCCATCCCTCTACCTCTTGCTTTACTTGAATAACTTCTCATCCCTCTACAGAGATGGCGCTTTGAGAAGCACTCACTAAACTCTACCCCAACTCCCCACCTGCTCTGCTTTGCTGGGTGTGCATCTCCCTCTCATCCCTGTTACATCTTAGAATAACTGTCTTTTGATTATCTCCATTTACCCCGATATATCATCAGATTACTGAAAGCAGTAAAAACGTTGGAACTGTCATTAGTCTCTGGAGAGTTTAGTGTCTGCACACAGTAGAAAGGCAGTATCTCTGAAATAGGTACAGAATATCATTTTTCTACATACAGAAATAGGAAGGAGAATCAGTACCCTGTCCAAAAGAATACAATAACTAGAATTTCATGATGCCTGGGGTTCAACTCTCAGGCCATTACTTTAGTATATTTCAGATCATTTATCCTTCTCTCTATGTGAATTTTTAACCATCCAAGGTGAAATGATAACAACAACAAGTAGTACACACTGACCTTCACATTATTCCTCACAGTTACCTTGACAGTTCTGAGCTTATTGTTGTTTTACTAACACATGATAAACAAAATTATCTGAAGGCAGTTCTTTTGACTCAAAACTCTTAATACCTCAATCCATAAGAACACAGACATTATCTACCATAAATTCATGGTTTCTACCTATTTTCCAAATTTCCCCAAATTCTTGTCTTCATTCATTTCTTCGCCCACCTCCACCTACAGTCACTCGTGCATGCTCTTCCCCTCTCCTCCCCCCTCATCCAGAAGGGGATGCCGCCCTCTTCTGGGTTTCCTCACAGATAACTGGCCAGTCCTTCTCGGTCTTTGCGGCCTTCTTTCTTCTTGACCCTTAAATGCTATCCACATTTCTGCAGGGTTTCCCAGGAAGATGATACCCACCCACAGGGAATCTGTTCTGCCGATGTAACAGTGGCCTCTTACCAGTATCTCCAACTCAGCGCTCACTGCATGCGGCACATGCGTGCCACCCACAGCAACACCAATTAAATTAGACCTACCTTAGCTGTCTTTTCTTCACATACTCTAAGTCTTAGAAACAGCAATCCTAATTGTTTCCAAGGTCAAGACACATAAAAATCGCCCCTCATCTTCAGTCTCCCTCGCTCCCCACAGTGAAACTTCCTCCCAGTTCTATTTACTGTTTGTCTTTAAGAACTCTCAGGTCTAACCCTATTCTCCAGCCATTACGACTGCTGCTCTCACTTAAGCCTTCACCTGTCCTCACCTGGTGTTCTTCCTGTTCTTGAACTTGCCTTACTCTACTTCTTACAATGACAAGAATGATTTTTTTTTTCCTAACCCTAAAAATGAGACATCATTCCATTAAAAGAAAATAGGAAGGCTCACCATTTTCTATGATATAATCCCACCTTGCTGGAATAACCAGAATTGTCTTTTACCCTTTTTCCTGTATTTCCTTTCTTCTATACATTCTTCTCCATAATTCTGAAGTATCTGCTTCCCATTATCTTATTTCCTGCCCAGCGGCAGTGAACCTATGGCATGTGTGCTGCAGCCGGCTCTTTGTTATTATTAAAAGCTCTAAAAGGTTCTCCATCACTGACTTTGTCTTTCACAGGCTGTGTTCCCCACGCCTAAGACACCCCCTCCTAGAAAATTCCCTTTATTTCCTGGTTAGTGCAAACACATCATTCAGTTTAAAGCATGAACTCCTTGGGAAAGTCTTCTTACCCCTCCCAATACAATCAGAATTAGATGTCTCTCTTACAGCTTTCCTCTATGAATGCAATTATCACACTAAGGTATGAACATTTTTGTCTTATCTCTCCCCTAAATTGTAAAACAATCAATGCACCTTTAGAAATAATTTTAAAAGAGGGCAGTTTTCTGCCTTGTAATTCTGAGTATAAATTAGGAAAGCCTTTTTGCTAGACGTTTTGGCAATATCTATCAACATACTAAATGCTAATGATACTTCACCCAGTCATCCTATTCCTAAGACTCTCTTCAAATATACATGCAAATGCTCATAGTAGCATTCTTTATAACAGCAAAAACTTAAAAAGTATCTCCATTATTATCATGGTATACTATTTACATATTTAAAATTCCTAACTTGAGAAGGCCTATTGGCAAGTGAATTAAAGGCAAGTCACAGGAAAACATTAAAGTATCATGCCCTTGCCAACCTCTAAATTGACAAGTGCATAGAGGAAATTTAACAAAGCAATACCAAATAGCTAGCAATCACTACATGAGGTCAAATATTACTCCAGACACCTTTACTAGAAGACAAATACTCTTGTATATTTTTTTAAAAGAGCCAGGGATATAGCTCAGTGGTACAAGCGCCAGCCTGGCAAGTGCAAGGTCCTAAATTCGTTCCTAGTACCAAGAAAAAAAAAGCTAGATCTTGGAAACAACCCAAATGCCCATCAGCTGAGGATTGGATGAAAAAGATGTGATCTTTTTATATAACAGAGTATTACTCAGCCATAAGAAGGATAAACTGGAGACTTTTACAGGTAAATGGATACAACTTGAGTCCATACTCATAAATGAAATAAACCAGACACAAATGTGTAAACATCATATTGTCTCCTTAGTGTGAGAAGCTGAAAGAGTAAATGTGATCCAAAATGTACACTAGATATTGTACAACGGGAAGAAACGTCAAACAGAAAGAGACACTGGTTTAGGGAAGTGGGAAGAAAACAAGGAAGGGAAAAGCAAAAGGAAAAAAAAAATGAATATATATAAAATAGGTTTGCTGCTGATTTCTCTCAGTTCACCGAAAAGACAGGTTTGTGCTAATACTGTCTGGACAATTAAATGCTGACATCTCATGCTCTGAATAACTAATTTAAAGATAAGAATGTACAATGTGACCACTGTTACCCTCCTCTCATATTGTTTTGGAATTTTGTTTTTAATGTTTATGTGGTTTTTGTCTTCTTTTTCTTTAAAGTAAAATAAATAAATAAAAAGAAAAAAGAACAAACACATTGATGAATACAACTAATTACCAGCATAAAAAGAATTAGGTAATAACATTACTTCATAGCCCTAAAAAGTTTTAAAGAAAAAAAGCCATTATTTCACTAAAATTAAGGGTAAGGACTGTAGAACATATCTTTTTCTATGAGTCCCAAGTGTAATTTTTAAAGCTTTTTTTTTTTTAAATTAGAGAAGAAAGCAGTACTCATTAACTGGGCTCTCACTAACTGGATGTCTTCTCTTAGTTTACAGACATAGACATTGTATTAATCTGTGCTCCTTGGAAGACAGTCTTCTTCAAAATTCAGACAAGAAGTGTCTGAATGTTTGTTCCACATGTAAAACCAATATGCTTCCTAGAATGAATGTCTGAATGTTTGTTCCACATGTAAAACCAATATGCTTCCTAGAAGTGGGAACCTCATTTTGGCAACATCGAATTGTCCCTCTAGTGATGCAGAAGGCTTCTCCTTGACATCTACTCATCTGGATTTTCGGAGAACGCACTGGGAGACACACAGGATCCTTGTGAACCTAAAGTGCCACAACTGATTACGTTTCAGTGCGTCTATTGGTTTTGAGTGTCTGAAACACACATAACTCTCATAAATAGGCTTCTTTCGTTGCGCAAGCACACACACAAAAATAAACACACACAAGTTCAAAAGAAGTCCTGATATTCTCCCAGCCTTCTTGACAGTGGCAGCTCAACTACATGAGGAAAATTGAGGACTCTCTCGTTAGAGAACAGGGCAAACTCAAAGTCCAGGAAGGGACTCAGAGTGGGACAACATTCATAATATGTGTACTAGGGTCTCCCAGCCACAGGACTAACTCTTTGGGCTGCCTTCCCTCCTCTCCTAAGAAAACTCTGAACACTTTTTTACAAACCATTACTATAATGAGCATTCACTCTTCAAAACAGAGTGGAGGAAACATCTGTAATAAAATGATAAATATGCGAAAGAAATGAAATGAACATCCTGGAGCAAGAACCTAGGCCAATGAAACAAGAAATATATCCAGTTGCTAACTGAAATAAACCAGACACAGAAGACAAGTTCCGCATGATTCCGCTTCTACAAGATATCTAAAGTAGTCACACTCATCAAATTTGTAAAGTAAGACTGCAGGAGTAACTGCCAGGGGCTCAGGGGAGGGGGAATGAGCAGCTGTTAACCAACAAGCATAATGTGAACAAGCTCTAGCAGCCTGCTGTTCAACACTGTAGACTACACCCTGCAGTCAAAGGGGATGTCCACTGAAGATCTGCTTAGCAGAGCTCACACTGTGTTCCTACCACAAGAAGGTTAGATTCTTTAAAAATACATTTAGCTCAAAGATCCAAACTGAAATACCAACATATTTCATTTCCAAGACCCTCTAAGTGGATCACTGAAGGAGTGAAAAGCAAGGTTTTTTAAATTAAAAAATAACATATATGTGGCCAGGCATGGTGGCACATGCCTGTAATCACAGCACTCAGGAGGCTGAGATAGGAGGATCACCTGGGCTACAAAGTGAATTTAAGGCTAGCCTGAACTGAACAGTGAGACCCTGTCTCAAAAAGACATAAATTAATTAAAATAATATAGAGACAACTACATAAAATAGTATACTTGTGTATTATCCATGCTAATTCTTTCATCAAACTTTAACTTAAAGAAATAAAACTATATCCATATAAGCTTCTCCAGCTCTCCTCCCTGAGTAATAACGCTCTTAAATTCATGTGCTGTCATTTGAACACCAGTTCTTACACTACAGAAGTGTGTTTCCCTAACACCATTTACTCATTTCAGTGCTTTTTAAAAACATACGTAAATGATAACAAACTGTGTGTGTGCATATTAACTTCTTCCAACACTTAGGTCAGCAACATTTCTTTAGACATATTCATAGGTATTGTATGATATTCTATATTATAAAGCCACCATTTACCAATTCATATCTCTACATATGGCCAATTAGGTGTGTCCTAATTTTTTATATTATAAACACTGAAATGTACATGTCCCATTGTTCACATGAAAAAACAACAATCATTACTAAACATGGAATCTTAAACCTAAACTTAGAAAATAGAAATAAATAATTTGAATACTAAACATAAAATCTACTTAACAGAGTTCAGTCTGTATCTATTTTATAATGGCCCCAAGCAATAACAACTTTTCATTTTCTGTGCCACTTTCTTCATATTTAAAAAAGTAAAACCTCTGATAAAATCTGTGTGTCTTACAGTCACGAAAACAACTGCCCTCGGTACTGTCATGTAACTTGCTTTTTACTTTGTTCCATCACTGTCAGGCTGAAGTGTAAGTGTGCAAATGTGTAGTGCTACTTGCTGTCTCTGCATCTTTCATTTGCTCTCTTTTTACTTCAGTATATGAAAAAAATCTAGTATATGGAAAGGTTCCAATTATTTCTGCAAAATAAGAAAATGGGCAAGTCAGAAAACACGTTTCTCTGTTCAACTGAGAGCTTATAAAAATGGCCAGAAAAGTTAAATTAAGAAAGAATAAAATTTTAGGCACTTCAGCATTATTTCCAGACTGAGGCCGGCACAATGTGAAATTAACTTACAACGGATGCAGAGTCCAACCATAACCACCCTATCCACCACAAGGGATCAGAGCTCTTTCCCATCTTCTCCTTGAGACAAAACTTTTTAGATTGAGGCCGAGCTTCTTCCTATAGTATAACCCACTCCCTTAATAAAATTTAAAAACTAGACAGGAGGATGCGACAAGAGAAATCATCATATGGTCTTCATTAATTAAACTTCCAAGATACTAAAAGGAGGTAGCAGGAGGAAGAGACAGGTTCTGAATTTTTTCTCATATACACAACCCCTTAAAAACACACTGTAAAATGGGAAATGGATCTGAATAGTCATTTTTCAAAAAAAAAATACACAAATGAACAGTAAGTATATAAAAAATGTTTATCAGGAAATGCAACTAAAAACCAAAATGAAATACTGTACCATCTCACATCAACTAGGATGATGACAATTAAAAGGGAAAAGCAGAGAACAAAAAGTGTTGGAGACACTGGAGTGCTCACACACTGCTGGCAGGAATGTGCAATGGTTTACTCACTTTGGAAAGTAGCTTAGCAGTTCCTCAGTAAGTTAAAACTGGAATTATCATATGATTGAACAATTCTACCTAGGTACGCACTCAGGAGATTTTGAAAACTTCTGTCCACAAAAACCCTACTAAATGAATACTCATACCAGCATTATTCGTAACAGTGAAGAAGTGGGAATATATCAAATGGTTATCACCTTATACATGAAAAGACAAAATGCAACACATTTATATAATGAATATTGTTAACCCATAAAAATGAGTTAAATACTGACCTATTTTACAACATGGACAAATCTTACCTCTCAAAGGTTCTTATAAACTTACTAAACGAAATGACACATGTAAGCACTTAGTGTCCTGCCAAAGACAAAGTACTGCAAGGACATAAACATTTATGCAGAAATAGGTTATGTCACATATGTCCCCAAAATATGCATATAGGAAAATCCCAATTAACAGAGCGGAAGGTGAAGAAACACGGTATAGTAGGAATGTGGTACACGAGAAGACAGGGTCAGACAGAAAACAACATGGAAAACAAAGCTATTCTTCCATCTACGCACCCCCACCTCGCAGCCCATACCACCAGAGTCAGACTCTGCAGATGTGGGGGGACTGGAAACCTGTACTGAGCTTGGGTACTGATGCTGCTACTGTCTCAAGGGCCACATTGCATAGAGCACTCGTTTGGAGGACATGACATTCTATTTGCTCAGTTCCTTTCTTTAAGTGAATTAGCTCACTTTGTGGCACATTTTAGAAACTATGACTGGGGGGAAGGTGAAAAGAAAGGGACAGCATGATCAAAAATACCACTTATTGAGTGCTTACTAAAATATGAGGAGCTGTTCTAAATACTTTACATAAAAACATTTCATGTAACCATACAAACCACTTTATGAGGCAGATACTCTTCTCTCCTCATTTTACAAGAAACATAAGCCCCACAGCAGTGGAATTTCTCCAATATTGCAGTCTTTGTATTCTGCCACCTATATGCTCTGGAAAATTTTTAAATCCAGTAGAATCCATAATACCTCAAGTTGAAATATCTGTATATAAATGTCAGTATTTGTATTACCTAAAGATAACATGAGATTATTATTTGTAAGCCTAAAAATTTTACAAATACCAAAACAAGTAAGAGAACACATCACTAAAAATGCTTTCTTTACAAACATGTATTATTCTTTTTCTAAATGGTAATCATTCTTCTCTTAAAAGGAAATTTTAATTAATATCATATAAACTGACTTATGTAATTCAAATTATCTTTTTATAACAATGGACAAAATTCCAAGGATACAAATTTAACTTTCATTTAAAAACCACTCAGTGTTGGAAGTGTTATGAATCATAAGTATTTTAAACAACATTTGAGTAATGGAGGATCTCCTGAAAGATTAATGGATAAAGATTACATACCTTGTTTTTAAAATAAACCTCAATTGGCAAAATGAAACCAGCATACCCAGATTCTTCTACTTTGTAAGGTGGATCTTTGCACACTGCAACATTAAAAAAGAAAATAGGAAAGATGAGAATAAATTTTTTTAAAAAAACATTGTTTTTTAAAAGGAAAAAAATACCATTCTACCACATAGATCACTCGCAATTTTCAAAGCCCTTTGGTAACCCCAAAGCTGAGTCTCTGTTCTTTATTTCTTCTCTAGAATCTGTAACAATAATTTGTTCTATCGAAAACAAAAAATTTAAGTTATTTATTAAAATTTTAAGCATAGCCGGTTGCAGTCAACTATAATCATTAATGAGTGGACAACCCCTCCTGTGTTTGAGATGTTCTGATTTCTATGTCGCCTCTATGTTCTGTCAATTTTATTGGTGCCCGTGAAGACTTATTACCCTCATCTTTCTCCCCTGCCAAAAAAATGGTCATAGAAAGTCTGACAGACACACATACAAACACTTTAAAATATAATCACATCACGAGAATACAAAATAAACAACAGGACCTTTGTATTTCATATGGAATTAGTAAGAAGCAAAACCAGAGATTATGCAATCTCTGGGGTGTAAGATGCCTAGGAAACTAGATTTTACCCTCCTCCAAAGTTTTCATTAAACCAAAGCCAATCAAAAGCCAACTGAAATGATCCTGCTTAAGACCACATGTTCATGGTTTCACAGAATAAAGCTGTAGAAACTGAATATCAAGGCTGTGTACCCTGGTACCCCGAGTCCTCTTCAGCAGCCCAAGCTTACCTTTCCAAGCTTTGCGCCTACCACAGCTCCTGGGTTTTGGCCAGACACACCCACCCAAACCAGTCCCCATGCTGTACTTTTCCCACCTTGGCCCAGTCCTCCTACACTCCTTCTATCCTTTCTAGGCCAGCAAGTACTGGCATCTCCTCTCCTTTGAGCCTCCAGAAGCATTAACTGTCTGAATCAGTGCTTCCACACTGAACAGGATCCCGTATGACCATACATTCAGGAATCTCATCAGCTGATTACTTTCTCTTCTCAAGGACAAAAAGAATACTTACCTGAGGAAGATAAAGAGTATGTCAAGGGCTCAGGCTATAGCAGCCAGCACATCTGGCTTCCACTCTATGATGCACCTCAAACCCCAGGCTACCTCTCTGAAATGTGGGTTCCTTTTCTAGACAATGTGAAGATTAAGCAGGGTAACTTCTACCGACTGAATGTTTGCGCCCAGCCCCATCCATCCGTATTTCAACCTCTGAACCTCTCACAGCAACAGTATTAGGAAGTGAGGCCCTAGGGAGATGATTAGGTCATAAGGGTGCAGCCCTCATGAACAGATTTAGTACCCTTATAAAAACTTTTTGGCCTCTTCTTTTATATGAAAACATGGCAAGAAAATGGCAGTCTGCAAGCTCAAAGGGGACCCTCCCCAGAATGTAACGTTGTCATTACCCTGATTTTAGACTTCCACCCACCAGAACCATGAGAAATACATTTCTATCATGCATATGCCACACAGTCTGTGAAGATTTGCTATGGAAGTCTGAATGAAATAAGAGGGTGATAAATACACAAGTTACAGCCCAGGGCCTGGCACATGTCCGCTTTCAATCAGTGACTCACATGAGACAGGGAATCTAACCCTAATGTATCTACGTGCCGCGTAACTTCTTCAAACGAAAACAAAAAGGAGGCAGCAAGCAGAAGTACCTGGATTGGATCAGAATGCTCAGGTACACGGCTCAGAGCTAGAGATTCTCTAGATAGCCTACATTTCCTTTCCCTTTAACAGGAAGGAAACATCATCTACACATCTGTAAGCATGGCTGCAAGGGCCCTATGAACAGAACTATGTATAGGCACAAGGTATTTTTTATTACAAACGATGAGGTTGACAATGTACATGAGAATTGGTTGTAAATGGCACAAACGCAAATATGGTTATAAAGGGGTATACATACTAAAGGCAAGATTCTGAGGTCTGACTGTCCTCTTCAGCCCACTTTAGGAAAATTTCCCCCAAGCTGACGTCAGAAAAAGTGATTAAAAATGCAACTTTATAGCCCCACCCCCAAAAAAAAACAGGCTAGCTTCGATCTTGCATCCATTGACCAAATGCCAACTGGTCATGAATATGCAATACTCTGAACACTAGGGTGGGGACACTACTAACCTCACCAAGCAGCCCCACGTGACCCCAAAGCCAGCTGGCTGGGGCTGCACCCATGGCATTTCCAGGCTGTTCAGCCCTTTAGAACAATGTCCAGGTTGGTTGGGATTAATCATGCCAATGTCATTTGAAGGAGGTTTATTTTGTGGCTGTGGTACAGGCCAGAAAAGTTATGGCTGTTCCTCTAAACACCCTTTTGTATAATTCATTTTCTCTATTCTGCATGCAAATTGCTCTCATTATAGGAAACAGCTGTTAGTGAGCACATCTTATAGATGAAGGTCTTGGATTTTTTCCTACCCCCCTAAAGGAAGTGATCTGCTATGTATTAATATTTTATAGGAGTCTAGTTTTTAAGAAAATGTTTTCCAACTCATACCTCAATTATTTTGAATGTAATATTTTCATCAATAACAATGAACAGTATCTGTAAAGCAACCAGAGTTCTTAATTAGAAGTAAATGATAGAAACATTTTATATATAATAAACATGCCAGAAAACTCAAAGAAATGTCAATACAATTTTAATCTGAAAAAAAGTCAAATTAGAGGATTAACTTTGATTCCAAAACCACACATATTAAATTAAAATCCAGCCCTAATGTTAGCTGTTTCAGCATTCTCACTTGTTCTTCCACACTTTTTTAGTTGGACTTAACAGGAGGATCCCATAATAGTCATCTTTCAGATTACTCCAAGAGACCAAGTCCAGGAAGTTACCAACTACATCACTATTCAAATCTGTAATTCCCTGCAATAATGTTGGGCCAGAAAACAGATACTGAAATATTTGTTCAATTTTTTGAATATTTATGCTACTTTTCCCTAATTGGCCATAGTCAAAGTCATTACCTTCCCACTCACAGTGATGAGCTCACATTAGCCAATCAAGCTCTTCCCCCAAACTCACCATAAGCAACATAAACTTATAAAAATTGGCACAACTGATAGACAGTATTTTCACAGAGGAATCTTCTCTTGAAAGCCAAGTACCCAATGTGAAACTAGTTCTAATTCTGACAGGACCACATTTGAGGCAATTGTATTAAGCAATTGGTTCAGATGATCTCTAAGGCAATTTTGAAACTAACATTCTATAGTCAAAAAGAATGGATTATCTCAACTCTCTTTCTACATGAGCACTACCTATGTACTCCAAGGTTCTAACTAGGACACATGTGAAAATACTCTGTGCTCAAGGAATCTCACGTACCATGTGAATTTGTCAGAACACAGTAGCCAAAACTCAGGAGAGGAACAGACCAAAATTATTGTAAAAGATGAATAACTGGACTTCTCTTCCAGTAATCAAAATATACATCCAAATACAGAATATATTACATGGTGTAATGGTTGATACATTGTGTCAACTTTAGAAGTTTTCAACAGGGCAGCAGGAGGCCAGGGTCCTCACTTTGTAAACATCCTGAGCCTGTAGAAGAGGAGGGCAGGGAGAGGGTGTGGGCGGGATAGCCAGCATACAATGTAAGGAAGGAAAAAAGAGGCTTGTTCTCGCACCCTTTTGCTCTTGCTGCTTTTGCTATCTTCTGCAAAAAGCTACCTTGAACTGCTGCCCCTCACCATGCCACCCTGCCTCGGAGCCAGCCGATTACAGACTGAAACCTCCACAACCTGTGAGCTAAATAAACCTTTCCTTCCTTAATTTTGGGTGTTGGGTATTTTGTCCCAGCAACTAGAGAAAAGTAAACAAGACACATGGCATGATAACAACCATACATTGACCATTAACCTATTTAATTCTGAAGTTGTGAAGATATACAAAGAGAAGAAAAACATGAAGAGAAAAGGTCATGGTTTAGTTAACCCACAGTAAGTCAAATCCTTATTTATTAATAAATAAATCCTTACTTAGTGAAATTTTCCATATTCTCCTATAGGAGAAAAAGATTTGAAAATGAGCCATGTTTGATACAGGGAAATAGATGTTCCTGAGTGAAAACATGAATACATGATTAAACAATAAATTATACATACAAAAATTAATTTGATCAATAGGACTTATTTTGCCACAAAAACACTAGAAGTCTTTTAAAAAATACATAAGACTCTCCTCTTTAAAACAATAACATTAGGAAACAATTTTTTCTTAATTCTCATGAAAACAGCTAGCAGATTCATCTGTAGAGTATCTGTGGATAGTTTGTTTCTTTGGACACTATGATTTATGTGCATGTGAATACTCCTGTAAATGATATGGCCCAGTTGTCCATTGAAAATATTGGTTTTACTTTATTTAGTGCATACAGCCCTTTGAGAAGTTCACACACCAAACTCTGTATGAAGTCTTGCTATTACCACTGCTTTGTGCCAACTGTCCTCCTATCCAGCTGGAGCATATTTTAGACTCCTTCCCTTCCTACTTCAGTTCCACCACATCAGAGCACCCAGGAATGGGGAAAATGGGGTTCTGAACAGTCAATCTTACCGTCTCAAAGAGCTCCATGCCAAGAGCTGGAAGTCTAGGCTGGTGGCTAGAAGTCTGAGCACCAGGGGAAGCTCTTCACACTAAATGTGGACTAGTAAGTCTGTATACTCAGGACATTTTGAAAAGAACAAAAATCAACACTTGGGTTTTGTTTTTCCTTACTCACACACACACACACACACACACACACACACACACACACACACACACGACCTCCATTGCTTCCATTCAGCCCATTTTTAAACAACAGCAAAAACATTTCTCCCTATGTTTTATTACTTCCTTCATTTCCCTGCAAAATGATTAAAACAACAGTAAATTTTGAGTTATATTGTTTACTTGTTTTTACTTTGTTGATTTTTTAAATTCACATGCAATTCTAAAACCCTGATTGTCTCCTGTGTAATAAATAAATGTACCAACGCAAGAAAACTGTCCGGCTCAAG